GCCACATCTTTACATTCATACATATCGAACTTCAATTTTATATTGTTAGTGTACAAAAATATCTTATTAATAGATCATAAATCATATTTAAATGATCGTAAAAGTAATTATTATAAAAATTTAATAAATTTATCATACATTATTTTCAATTATTAATTAATTAAAATTTGCATATTTATTTTTAAAAGTGAAATTTAAATATATTTTTTATTCGTGTAATTTCAATTTATAAAAGTATTTAAGCTATTTTAGTCTTTAGAATACACTTTTTTTTTATTTTTTTTAGTCTTTGTTGTTAGAAAAAGTTTTGTTTAGTGATGATGTGGCAAACAAAATATCATGTTATCGCACATTTATTATCTATGCATGCATGTGTTTTAAGGATGGAATGATAAAATAATTCTATAAGAACAAAAAAAAATTATTGGACTAAAACAACCAAAATAAATTTATAGTGATTAAAAAATTAAATGTAAAATTATAGAGAAAAAAAAATATTTAAGATAATTATAATTAAAAAAAAATAGTTTTTGGTCACTACTATTGTTATAAAATTATATAGTTTCTCCTTCCATTTTTTCACATATCTTTTTATCATCCTAACTAATGTTTCTTATTATTGTCTTTTTGTTGCAAAGTCACAAATAATTGATTTATTTTTGTTGAAATCTTATTGAGTTCAAAATAAATGTTGTTTAACTTTTTTTATTCTCATCAATTGTTTGATCATGTGACGATAATGATAATTTTGCTTTAGCGACAATGTGTTATTATTATGTTACGTTGAATAATGTAGCATATTACTAATTTTTTGGTGTTCAAAGACAAATGTAAAGATCAAGGAATTCTTGTATTGTATTTTCTTATCTTTTGTCTTTGTAATTGTAGACATCTCACTTTATATTATTTATAAATAAATAAATAACTCTTGTTATGTTACAATTTGGTTTAAACAAGTTTAGGTTTTGAGTTAGTTTTCTTAATAATGACTTTTGTGTTCGAAATGATGGAAATAAAATATAATAGATGTGGTGGATGAGGGTTTTTATTTATTTATTATTTAATCCAACTTAAATGTCTTTCCATTTCTTATATTTTGGTATTTTTATTTTTTTAGTTATCATAAATTTAATCTTGTCATTTCAATTATTATAATTTGACATTTTATTATATTAGTTTCCATCTTTTTTATCATTTTAGTCTTTTAAATAGGTTTATATTGATGACACGTGGTATAGCGATGTGAAACTCTACTGAAATATGTTTATGCTAATCCATGAACAAGATCCATACATTATCTTAAAATTAATAACCAATAATTAATCTGTTTAAAAAATGTATCTTCCATCGATTATGATATCATTATTTAGTGAAGCCTTTTTTAACTACAAGGCTAAAAATGTATTTATATATATATATTACAAAGACTTAACTGGCTAAAATAATTTTATGAAAATTATAATAACAAAATGCTTAAATAACAGGAAATTTTATGTAGTAAATAAATAAAAAATAAGTTTATTTGCATTTTTAATCTTTTTAGTATTACAATTGTGAGATTTTAGTCTTTGAGATTCTGATCGAACAATTTTAGTATTTTTAAGTATTGAAATTGTATTATTTTGATTTTATAAATTTTAATTAAGTAATCATAATTTTTTCAAATATTGAAATTGTATAATTTTAGTCCTTTAAGTATTGCAATTATATAATTTTAAACTTATTTAAGTTATATATATATATATATTATTTTTATTTATATATTAAATTATATATATTTATTATTATCATTATATGTAAAAATTTGTATAATTGTGATATTTAAAAAACCAAAATCACACGATTATAATACTCGATATAATACTTTAAAGACTAAAATTGTTTAATTAAAATTTAATAATTAAAATCACATAACTATTATATTTACAAGACAAAATTTAATTTAAGACTAAAAAAGACTTAAATATGACAATAAAAGTAATTACAAAATTTAAAAAATGATTACAGAAAATTATTTATAATCGGTATCTTGCTAGAAAAATAAAAGAATTAATGGCAATCAATTTTCTGGTTTCCTTTTTGTCATATCCTCTTCATTTATCAGTTTGAAAACAGAGTGCTATCTTCTCACGGGAAAGCAACCCACTCTCTTCCTTGTTTCATAAAGGCATCCCATACCTACTTTCAAATTTTAAACTCCCAAAATAGAAACCCGGTCCGAATTCCAATCTTGCCCGTGAAATTTTCCAGTCACACTAATATTATAACCAATCATTTAATAATAAAGGTTAAAAAATCAATATATAACTATCATTTTTACTGATTTTCAATATAAAATTAGTTTGTTTAAGAGATGTATTGTACCGGAATTTTATAAGACTACTAAATGTTAACCGTTTATGATAATAAATTATATATAAATAAATATTATATTTAAAATTTATATAAATAGATATTTTAAAATATATAAATTATATTTTAGATTTATAATAAATAATTTATATTATATCATAAAAATATTTTAATATTCATAATTTATTTTAACATTATTAAAATTTAATTTATAAATAAATATGATACAAGGAAGTTAAATTAAATAAAATTTAAAATATTTTAAATTTTTTTTATCAAATTTATTTTTAAATCATAAAATTTAATTCACAGATAACTATAATAAATAAAATTTGAATTATCTAATAAAAGATTTCTATAAATGTTCTTGCTAAACTTAAAAACGTTTTAATAAAAAAAAATTGTTTATATATAAAAGTTGGTTTTAACACAATTTTTCTTTTTTGCGTAATTCAGAAGATTTATAAAAATGTAATGATTTTTAATTTTTTAAAAAGGCTAATGAGTTTAAATTTGACGTATTAGTAGTTAATTAACGGTAACTGGTGAATGGTTGAGGTGTATTTTTCTCCAAATTTAATGTATTTTCCCCATTAATCACTCGAATACAAAGTTTAGGATTTGGTGCGATAGTTTGAGAATTAATAATATGAAAAACGACGTATGGTGGTTAACAATCTAAAGAATAAATATTTTGAAAAATATATTTATCAAATATTACTTACTGTTATGAAAAAAAATTATCAAATTAATTTACTAATTATTAGAGTATGGGAAAACAGCACATGAAAATTGCGCTTCCTAATTTAACTTTTTTAGTGACACGCACGCGAAAGTTAAAATAAAATAATAATAAAAATAATAATTTATATGTATCAGTGATGGAAAAAGAAAAACATCGTCAATCAATTGAAAAACATGATAAATATAACATTAAAATTTATTATTTTAAAATCAACAAATTATTATATATAACAAATTTCTAAGTAATTATAGTGTAAGAATCTTTTCCATATGAATACTTTTGACTATTTACTCAAAAACTATTCTGTATATTTGATATCATATTTGATCTTTTATTTATTTTATACATATAAACTTACATTGAAAAATATTATAAATTAGTCCTTATTCTTATACAATAGTATTATTGAATTTTTTGTTTATATAGGAGTTTTTTTAGGTACATATTAATGTAAAAATATATGCATTAATAAGTTATTTGTTAAATTTTGGTTATTTTAAATGAAATTTTATGTTTGAGTTTATGAATGGAAACATGTTTAAGATAAAAGGCTTTACTAGAGGTAATTAGTAAAAAAATTTAACAGAAATTAATTATTAACAAAATTAGTAGATATTTTATATTAATGATATAATTACATATAAAGAATATCTTTGCATAGTTAATCAATTAAAAAATACTTTTTTTTTATGATTTTTAAGATAGTCATCATGAAAGTCGTATAAATAGTAGAATGAATCACCTTGGTAAGTGATTCATGATAATCATTTTTAGCCATCATTAGATTATTTCATCTACACATGTTATATTTGCATTCTCGACAACATTTTTTTTCCTTCCTCCTCCCTCTCTCACTACCACCACTTCACTTCATATTCCTTCTCTTATCTCATGACTTATCATTCTTATTGTCGTTGATTTCACTTTCACGGATTACTATTCCATGTTACCGGATTTAGTAAAACAATAAGTTTAAGTTGTTAATTTGGGTCATATAATTGACACAATGTTTCATATAATTGAAAATTACTAGTTAAAGGTTTGTCATTGTTTAATGATGTTAGAATTGCCATATCAGATATGAGTTTGAAAGAGAGACAATCTCTTAGTCATGTATTTCTCATTTTTGGAAGGGAAGTTTTGCACAATGGGATTAACAAAAAATACTCATACTCTTCATTTATCATTTTCCCCCACTTATCTTTTTCGATTCCAAATACACATGATTTCTACATTTTTATACACTTCATTTATCATTTTCTCTCACTTTTATGATACTAAATATAGTGTTAAGAAATACATAAAAGCATTAAAAAAAATAAAAACCAAATACATTTTTAGTCCTCTAAGTAATATAGCTATTAATTTTTTGTCCTAATTAAGCGATTTGAATTTTTTAAATAATTGTATGATTTTGATCTTGTCAATTTTCTTTTAATGTCATTTATAAATATCAAATATCAATGTTACAATTTTAATAATCAACAAAACACTTAACTATTGAATTAAGAATGAAAATTAAAAAAATTAAAAAAATTAAAAAATTAAAAATCGAGAGCCATGAATTAGATATTTCAAGGGATAAACACATGTAATTTAGTTATGCAAGATCATTAAAAATAAAACTCCAATCAAATAAATTTTTTTATAATGATATTATAAATAAAATAAAATAATTAAAATTTACATTTGAGACTAATATATTTTATTTGTTTTCTATCATAAGAAAAAAATAATTAATTTTATATATATATTAATAATTTTGTATTTTTTAATTTATAATAGAGAAAAAAGAATATATATATATATATATATGTGTATGTGTATATTTTTTTTATTTTCTTGATAACATTTTCAATGAATTCATTGGTGGTGAGATAAAGTGACGAAGTGTGTTGAGATGAAGGGTGAGACTGAGCTTACTTAAGTTAGTGTCACTGTCAGTGTGAGTGTCGGGTGTGGTGGACTGTGCATATAGAAAAGACAAGGACCACTTCTGTTACTCAACGCTGGGCCGATAATATTTCTTCTCCTTCTCCTACTCCTGCTTATGAAGGGTACGTTCTCTCTTTCACCTTCTCCTTCTAATGTCATAATAACTATTCACTCACCTACCCAACATCCATCACCATCGCTCCATGTGGTTTCATGCCTGCAAATGGATTTGCATCCACAAATCAAATCAATCACCGTTTCCTCTTATCTCACCTTCTTCCCCCAATAAGAGCCCATTTCCCTGAATTACCAATTTAATTTAACAACAACAAACCCCACCTTCATTTCAAATGCTTCTAACTCTTTACATCAATAAGCTAGTACTAATCTATCTCCAAAACCTTTTTTTTATGACTCGCCAAACATCCTCTTTTTTTTTTTTTTTTTTTTTTTTTTTTTTTTTTTTTTT